CCCCCAAATAAATGCAAAAGAGATGACTCTCAGACAACCCGATTCCCGCGTCTGCTTTCTTGCTAATTTTGCCCTCTTTTCCTCTTGTGTCCGCCACTACCATGTGCGTATGAAGCTTTGCACAGACTGATGATAAACAAATTCAGCCCAAATAGATCTTGGTTATGATCACAACTCCTAAGATCATGGGTATAATAATAAAAAAAAAAACTGAAGGCTGACACCAAGACAAAGCCACAACGCCACGATTCCTATTTCATGTAGCTGCCATCTCAAACACGACAGCTTTACTTTGTGTAGAATTTTTCATCATCTTCTGGAAGAGCTACTGAAAACTCAAGTCAATAAGCTTCCCTTCTCGTACGAAAAGTACTCAGATTTAAGAATGTATTCATTGGAAGGAGAGCCGAACTCCACGACCGATCCAAAATTATCTGATCTCACCGTGTCTTCTGAGTCTCCCTGTCTTTCCTTTCGTTGCTTCGTTCTTCCTGAAGGTCTCACAGTTTTTGATTCAAGGATATCTTCTGTAAGGCCGGCCGAACGTTTTTTCGCCTTCTTGTCTTTCCCCATGATGGCACCCGTAAAATCAATTTTAAAATCCGCCTGAAGATCAAGAATTACAACATACTTCGGCCGCCATATTGTTACAAGCTTCCTCACGTGGGTGAACTGAAAACAATCCAGCGGTCTACTACGAAGGTCCGCAATGCATACAAAAGTAAATTCGTTCCTGCACCCTTCTCCATAGACCTCTATAGATAGATATGGTCTTAGGGATGTTTTTTCTTCTAGCAAGCAAATAGAAGATAAAGATCTTTTCCCCATCCAGCCAAGATGGCAACTTCACATTTCTTAGTTTTCACAACTGCCGGAGGCCGGTCGCTTCGATATAGTCGTTTTGATGCAAGTCGTTTCGATACAAGTTGAAGTCAATTCATCACACATGCATGTAAAATCGATTCGATACAAACTCACATTACTTCAAGTCATTTTGATACAGAATACAATATGATATATAAATGAACGAAAGACCTTCAAAGACTTACTCAAAAAGCTCTGTTGCAAATAAAAACAAACCCATACCTTCGTGAATCTCCACGTGTACCCAAGCCTCTTATGCAACGAGAACACGCAAACGAGACCAAATTAATTGGTTAAGTTTGTTTATCCAGAACTGAGATTTACATATATACATTTTTTCCCATCGGACACCCCTTCAGATCGGGCTTGTTTCCAAGAAGAAGTTATGGTGCACTCAGAAAAAAATGGTCCAAGACCTCCAGACCAAGATCTTCATGTTTTTGTTTAAATGTGCAATTTAGCTTTCTTCTCAGCAAAGGTTAATAGGAATGACAGAATCTCAATATTATAAAAAAAACAAAACAAATTCTGGCAGCTGTATCAAAACAATGCCATATTGAAAATGACCTGCCTAACAAATGATGATGGTACAACAATATATAGTAACACAAAAATAATTTTTGTTATATTTATTTGCAATCAAACAATTACATATAAATTCTAAATATTGCATACACAATTTACAAAATCATAACCATAAATAATATTTATAGCATCTTTTGCATAGCATCAATATTTATATGTCTGCATTTTTGCTCGCTGAATATCAAAACAATATAAAAACTTTGGAAACTAAATTTTTTTTGGAAAAAAGTCACCTATTAGGCATATAGCAGTCCTAAAACAGGCAGTATAATTTCTTTATGGTCCTTACAAGTTAAAGTGATATAATCCTNAATGGAGAACTGGAATGTTAAAGAATTAAAAGCCGAGGCAAAACGACTCGGGCTAAAAAAATATTCAAGCCTCAGAAAGCAGGAGTTAATTGAGTTGATATCAAACATTATTGACCACCCAATTCCAGCAGATTTCAATGCTCCAATTCTCAGACCAACAAGAAATTCTGGGCAGCAGAGAACACAGATGCTGGCGCAGTCGCTGACACTTGATCCGCAATAACAAAGGAGAAGAGAAATAAGAGAAATTGAAGAGATACTTGGATCGAGATGCAGTCGCTTACACTCATCAACATCAGATTTTTTAGATGAATAGAATGAGTTTGTTGAAAACTACGAAAATAATCCATTTACAGTTCTAGACAGTGGGTGCTGGTGTGCCCACGAGTCAGCATCTGCATTGAGAGGTTTCACAAGGCAGTTCAGAAAAAATGCAGTTGAGGGTTTTGGGCCAAATCAATTCATGCAGGAGGCAAAACCAGCAGTCTTGAAAATCATGAGAGAAAACCCCCAGACAAGACTCAAGATGATTCTTTCTTGCAAGATGAAGAGGAGAGCTATGGATGGAGAAGTTCAGTATCTTGACACTTATTTCCAAACCAACACAATGTAATGAAAGCGAAGCGTATGAAAGATTTATGCAAACTATTCAAGAAAGAATTGAAGAATTCAAGAATAACAGAAGTAACTGGGAGTTTCACAGAGTCATTTCACTTGACCTGCATCTTGTAGAGTACAACCCTTTGAACGCTAGCTCTTACATCAAACTTCCAAAAGAGCTTAAAGGAAAAAAAGCAATAATCAATAGGGAAAATCAAGATAATGAATGTTAAATGGTGCATTACAAGAGCGCTTTATCCAGTTGAGAAAAACCCTCAAAGAATAAAAAAGATTCCTAAAGAACAATCTGATCCACTCGACTGCAGAGGAATCAACTTCCTGGTTGAGCTTGACAAAATAAAAAAGTTTGAAAAACAGAACGAAAATATCACGGTAAACGTGTTTGGTTGTGAAAGTGAGGCCAGAGTCTATCCTCTCAGAATAAGCAAATCACCAGCTGAAGAAAGGAATCAAGTGATCAATCTTCTTCTTATCGAGAAAGATGGAGATGCAGTTGCTAATAAGCACTACTGCTTTATAAATAACATGAGCAGGCTTCTCTCAAGTCAAGTCAAATCTGTTGCTGTTGGCTCTTACACCAACAAAGAAGTTGACATCAAGACTGAGCTTCCTTTTATTGATAGTTTAAAGTTCATGGCTTCTCTCGATAAACTGGTCAGTAATTTGAGCCATGATAAGCTGAAGAAAACTGGGGAGGTGTTTAGAGACGCTGAAATCGAGTTGATCTCAAGAAAGGGAGTGTATCATATGAGTACATGAGCAGTATTGAAAAGTTTGGAGAAACAGAACTTCCACCAAAAAGAGAGTTTTACTCAAAGCTTACTGACTGTGATATAACTGATGAAGATTATGAGCACGCAAAGAAAATCTGGAATGAGTTAAAGATGAAGAACATGGGTGATTATCATGATCTTTATCTCAAATCAGATGTTCACTTGCTTGCAGATGTGTTTGAAGAGTTCAGAAACGTCTGCCTTGAGAATTACAATCTCAATCCTGCTTGGTGTTACACTGCTCCTGGATTGGCTGGGGATGCAGCATTGAAGGTGACAAAAGTTGAACTTGAGCTGTTGAGTGATCTAGAAATGCTTCTGATGTTTAAGAAAGGAATTCGTGGAGGAATCTCCATGATCCCAAATCACCATGGAAAAGCAAATAACAAATACATGGGGAAACAGTTTGACAGAGAAAAAACCATCAAAATATCTGGCTATCTTGATGCAAACAATCTTTATGGATAGGCAATGTGCAAACCTCTTCCTGTCAGAGATTTCAAATGGATGAGTCAAGCAGAGATTGGAGACTGGAGAGCGGGCGAGAGAAATATTCCCTGCATTCTTGAGGTTGATCTTGAATATCCAAAAGAGCTTCATGATCTTCACAACGATTAACCTCTTGCTTCAGAGAGAATCATGATCAGCTCAAGCAAAGTTGAGAAGCTTGTGCCAAATCTCAACGATAAGAAGAAATACATCATCCATCACAAGAATCTCAAACAGTGTCTTGAACTCGGATTGAGACTGAAAACATTTACAGAGGAATCAAATTTGAAGAAGAACCTTGGCTGAAAAGTTATGAAGAGCTCAACACAAATTTGTGCATGAATGTAAAGAATGAATTTGAAAAGGATTTCTTCAAGTTCATGAACAACTCTGTCTTTGGAAAAACAATGGAAAACATCACGAAACGAGTTGATGTGAGGCTTCTCAACAATCGAAAGAAAGCACAAAAGCTTTCAGCAAAACCAAACTTCAAGCATTGCAAAATATTTGACGAAAATCTCATTGCAATACATATGAGTAGAACATCAATAAAGTTCGACAAGCCAGTTTTCTGTGGAATGGCTATTCTTAACATCAGCAAGACTTTGATGTATGACTTCCACTACAAATACATAAAAAAGAAAATATGGAGATAACGCCAAGCTTCTTTTCACAGACACTGACAGTCTCATGTACGAGATTGAAACTGAAGACTTTTACAAGGACACAGCAGCAGATGTTGAAGAAAAGTTTGACACCAGCAACTTTCCAAAAGACCACATTTCAAAGATCCCACCTGGTTGCAACAAGAAAGTTGTGGGCATGATGAAAGATGAGGCTGGTGGAAAGATCATTGAGGAGTTTGCTGGATTGAGAGCAGTACTTTACAGCTACAAGATTCTTGAGGGAAAAGAAGAGAAGAAGTGCAAGGGAATCAAGAAGACTGTGATAAAGAAGAATATAACTCATGAAGACTACCAAGAGTGCTTATTTAGCAGAAAGATACAAATGAGAAAGATGAGTGTAATCTGGCCTTATCATTCATTTGATTTAGGTCTGACTTGCAATGTTTCGATCACCCTCCTCGTCATCAAGCATGTGTGCTTCAATTGGTAATTCCTTCCTTTTCCGATAGCTGTAAAAGAAAAACCAAAGATTATCTTCAATAAGATTGCTTATCTGTAGGGATACTTTCTTTCCAAAACTAAAATGTTATCTGAAAAGACTTTCTCGGCAGCTAAATCTGTGTTTCATACAATTAGATTTGACTCTATAAACATGCTGAGAAGTACATACTTTAGGCATTGTACTCATTAATTTACATTTAAAAAAACTTACCAGGACTTGAAAGGGCACAAGCAGTATACCAATGGAAAACCAAGACAACCAACAACGAAAGAGACAAGAATTGCTATTATATGTTTTAAATGCCAATCACCTACATGAGACCAATAAAGAGACAAGAAAAAATATCAAAGTTGAAGTAAACATAGAGCAAATGTGAACACAGCAGCAATTTAGCAGCATATCTATGTACCTACCAGCCTGTCTGTCTCACTGACTGTTTGTCTGTTTGTCATCTGTCTGTCCATTGTTCTGTCTACCTGCCTCTTCATCTACCTCACAGTATCCTTCTGTCTCTCCATCTATCTGTTGGTCAGTATATTGATTGGTCCATATGTCTGTCAGCGGTTTATTTTTTTTTTTCCTTCAATGGTCCAACATTTTCAAACAGAACTTAGCTGGACCTTTCAAAATCACATTTATTTAGGAGACAAGAAAAAGTCTTTGATTGAGGATGAAGGCTCAATTAATTAAATTACATATCACTTACTCCAGAAAGATGATGACCTGGGTGCTCCTGTCCCTATTGCATCTGGATTTGGTGTAATTGCAGTAGTGGTAACCTTGGTAGAAATTGTAGCACTGGTAGTATGATTGGATGCCCCCTCACACTTGGGATCTAATAAGCAATTGCAACAACCAAGCTAAAAATGTAGCTTCTTCCATATCCTTTTTACTTAAACCACATAGCTCCAAGCTGCCACCCTTTTTTTCAAAGTTGCCAATTTAGGGACCATGATTGTAAAGAGGTACCCAAAAAAGCTCATGTTGCTTTCCAGAAAAAAGCACAATTGATATTTGTAATGGTGCATGACCTACAAAACTTGTCACTTGTCCTGGGTATTATGCCTAGCATTTGATCTGGAGATCGATTCACCCAACATCTCAAGGATTTTAATATAATTTTGAGAAACCAATGTGAAAGAGGCAAATTTCATCAGAAGAAAATGGAGCTCATGTCATTGAGTAATATTTTACGTAAGCTTATTTCAGACCATAAAAATGTAGTGATTATCATAAACCTTAATTCAGCTTGTTCCATGACTGCTGACCACAATTTGCCAAATTGACAACTTATACACTGCAAATTTAGTGGCTAAAATTTCTCTGGTCATCATGCAACCAAAGTCGTAGCCTGGAGAGCTGAAACAACACCTTTTAACACTGCTG